CCTGTATTACACATGAATGGGAGAGCATTCCTATTTCTAAACTTGAGGCACTGGTCTTCTCTGTCCCCAGACGTCTGTTGAGTGTTGTAAGAAGAAGTGGGGATGCCACACTGTGGTAAAAATGGACTTGTCCCAACCTTTTTGGGATTTGTTGACGCCATGAAATTTGGAAACAACAGATTTTTCCCTTAAAATGATACATTCTCTCAGTTTAAACTTTTGATCTGTGATTTGTGTTCTATTCTGAATAAAATATTAGATGTTGGCGCCTCCACATCATTGCATTCAGTTTTTATTCACAATTTGTTTAGTGTCCCAACTTTTTTGGAATCCGGTTTGTAAATTATTGTAAAAACAGTCATTTTAAACTCCATCTGCTGGAAACAGAGCTTTGAGGGAGAGAATATTTATTAAAATCAATATATATCTGCTTGTACATCTTTTTTGGGATTTATCCTATTTTTATTATGAAGATAAAGGGTAACAACACAAAACAAAAAACATTTAAAGTAATCGCTGTGTGATGTCTTTGTGCAGATATGTGCAAACCTTGGTGAGGTAGTCATGTATGTTGAGCGTGGCCAGCTTGGTGAGGTGTCCATTCAGTCCCAGTGCCATAAGGAAGCCTGCATACTCATTAGCCAGTTCAGGGCTCTTTGGCTTGTTGTAGGCAATCCAGGCTGAGTCCACCTAGAGAAGGAGAAGAAGAAAAACTCTCTGAATTTGACCTTGTTACATTTAATATTAACACCGGGGTGCTGCTCGATAACATATCGACTAGTCCACAAAGAATAGTTTGAATTGTTGAAGTCACTTTAACAGACAAACAGAAATAGTTTATCTGAAATAAAATATTTTTTCAGAAAATTCAAACATCTTTTTAACTACAAAAATATACAGTACACACACATATGCATAATGTAGTCTAAATTTAGCTTTTTCTTTGTATTAAATTTATCTGCAACGTTTAGTGAATGTTTGTGTCTGAATCAAGTACAATCAAGTAAAAAATCTAAAAATAACTCAGCTGCCTTCCTCAAGCTGACAACTTTGTAATGCAAAGAAACAATACTGATTATTACATTTGGTTTCTATTGATTTCAGATTATATTTACTCTTCATTTATGGCTTTTTACAGCTGCAGGCATCGTAATATATTGAGCTTACATAGTCTTTTGCAGTTCAGGAAATGATAATGAAGCAAAAATCATTTACAAAGTAAGCATGCCTCCCCTAATTTTTCAGCTTGGTTTTAGACTTACCTGTGAAGCGGGGGCTATTTTAAGTCCAGCTGCTACTCCATTATGGAAACTGGGCCAGCTGGTCATGTTGGGAGGAACATCAATGTTTCCACTGTTGAGATCAACCATGGTATTCCTGGGAGGAGCACGACCTAAAAAAATTAATCAGAACACACATGAAATAAGCTGCAGAAATACTGATAATTTATTATTACTATTGAATTTATAATACACTCAACTTTTAAAATAAAGCAACTATGCATCATCTTCCTGCTAAATTAAATATGTATATGTTTTTATAAATCAATTTACTTTATTTTTTTTCTTCACTATTTTGTGAGTCTCCCAGATTTGTTCATAAAAATAAAAACTTCTAGAGAAATCTATACATAAATTTTCCTTAAAGGAACAAACTTTGAGATACCATTTACGATTCTCTACCTCCTCAGTACCTGTAAGGTTGAGTTTTGGGACAGGCAAAGGTTCAGTTGGTACAGGATGATAAGAAAAGAGCGTGAAGAGGCCTCTGCCGACTGGAAGAGCCATCGTCCTCTGACACAACTGAAGAAGTCTGAGAAAGACAGTAAAAAAGAGAAAAAGACCACAAGGAATTAAACTATGGTAGTGTGAACACTGTCTTGGGAAAAATAAATCTTAGTAGCAAAAACTAAAGCTTAAATACATTTAGAACTGTAAAACACTGGGGTGAGAAGAGGACAGGACAAGGTGCAATACAATGACCTTTAAAGATATTGTTTTAATTGTTAACATCTGTATTCTATGACAAAAGTTAATAAAAACAAAAGTAAAGTATACGGCACAATGTACGCCAGTCGTCAAGTTATTAAACAGCAATACAGTGGTGATGCATATAGGTATCAAGTTTTGTTAATTTGTAATGGATCAGAAGATGTGGTCTGGAAGAGCAAAGACCTTGTCTGACATTTGACAGTGCTTTGGAGACGATACCATAACAAGTGTGTCTTTCAACGAGCGTATAATAATAATAAAAACGACACATTTATAATGTACTTACTTATTTTCTTTCTCCTCAATATACTCGTGATCTGAAACCTCAGGTAGTTGGACAAGACTGACTCGGACCGGCCTGGAGCTCTGCAGAAGCCTTCTGACTTCCTGGACTCGTAGATCCTGACTCCAGATCAGACCTGTGACCTAATAATGACAAAGGTTTTGTTGGAAATATATATATATATATATATATA